ACTAAAATGATACTAACTCTTTATTAAATAATAAGTTAAAAATATAATCAAACTAAATTAATTAAAAAAAAATTAAAATAATAAAAAATTAAAATTAAAAATTATAATTAAGTTCGTAAAATCATGATCTGTGTTTATACAAATATCCTCGAATATATATATACTTTTCTATATTTCATTTACATAATGTTTTACAAACAAACTGAAAAAATCTTGAACTTTCTTTAATTTGAATAATCATTCTTTTTTATTCCTCTTTCTTTAAATCATTTGCATTCGAAATTTAATTCTTTTTTCTTGAGTAGATTTGAATATCCTTCGGCTTTGTAATTTGGTTTAACAATTACAACAGAAACAAAGGTCTAGGCATATATTATCGAAATCTCGAGACTTAGGCAATATTTTTCTGGCTAAAATATTGTGTTAGCCGTTTTAAAAAATCGGTTCGAAATGAGCCGTTTAACAACACTATGGCTATATGAGGTCCCTTACAAAATTATGGATTGCTTACGAATAGCGCTATTAAAAAGCCCGATTTCGGGTCGGTTTTCACAAACTGCCCTATTAAGAATTTAGCCTAGTAAGCCTCGATATTTGGCTAATAGAAGTCCAAACTTTTCTACTACCTATGAACAAAATCTCCAGGCTTTGGTTAAAATCTTATAGGGGCTAAGAATGGAGCTCAGAATCTCATAAATTAAAAATATTAAATGAGAAGTTATAGCAGTTTTGGTTTAGGGGAAAAAATAATACAAATGTGTTTCTTACCAAAATCCCAGTGGAATAATATAATCTATAACAAAATTATTCGATTCAAATTTTATTCGAAAATATGAATCGAATACGAATAATGCAAATAATTGAATTCGTATCATTGTATTGTAGGTATATCTTACTCATATTTGTTGACGAAAGAAAGAAAGAAAGAAAGAAAGAAAGAAAGAAAGAAAGAAAGAAAGAAAGAAAAAAAAAGAAATATAGCTTGAGTGATTAAAATCGACGCTATGAAAAAAAAAATCGGCTTAGAATTGAGGCAAGAATTCATTTATTTTCTGTTTTAGAAAAAAAAAAGTAGGATAAGCTAGGATTAGGCGCAAGGCTTAAAAATAGAGTAAATACTTAACTATAAGAGTTCAGCCAGTACTTAGATAAAAATTATGAAGTGGAGTTTTACGATTTTATTATCTTTCATACTTACGTTGTTCATTGTCTGATAATAATTTTTTATATTTCCCCATTTTCTTTTTTTAAGGCTGTCGTTTCAAAACATCAAAGAAATTTAATTCGAAAACTTTCAAAACTTTTATAACTTTATCGAAAAATCCGCAAAATAAGCCTCTTTTTTTTGATAGGAAAGTAAAAATTATTGCGAAAACATATTTGTGAAATTTTCCAAAGTTTTAAAACTTTTTGAATTTTCTAAAAAAAAAAGGTTTCAGAAGTAACTTGAAATAAAATAAATAATTTCGAGTAAAATCTTTTTTTAAAAAATCTTGATTATTAATTCGGAGATAAATAAAGATTCGTGAAAATTACGAAAGTGTATAATAGTGCACACAAATTGAGCGTTTACGTTTTGCCATAATTTTTTAATAAAAAAAACGTAACGCGTCCCTTGTTTAAATTGTGGTTGCCTTTTTATTAATATCCGTCGATTTAAAATTTTAAATAAGTTCTAAAAAAAATGATTTGTCCTTGAAAATTATATTATCGTCTGTCTTCTTATTTCTTTAATTTCTAAATATTCCTTTTTAGGATATAAGTAAAAGTTTATATTACATTTTTATATAATATTACAAAGCGAAGAATAAAAAAAGTAGTGAAAAAGCAAACCGATTAGTGTTTTTTAAAATAGTTGCCAACGCCAAACGATAATTTTACCAAATTATACGAGGCTACTTGAAATGCATTATTTGCGCTTGCAACTCAGAGTTTAAAACGTTCAATTTGTGCGCACTATCGTAAGTTTTCTTCAGATATAAAGGCTTTACAAAATAAAAAATATTTAAAAAGTTTTGATCTATAAAGACTTTTTGAAAATGCTTTAAATAATATTTTCAGTGGAGTAGCTATGGGAGGGGGAGGGTTTCGGGTTTGGATTCCCCCCCCCCCCCAGAGCAAAATTATTTTTTAGATTATACATTCAAAAGATTCAACAAGAATATTTATATTTTTTCTGGTTTTAATGTTTGTGGATATTACATTACTATTTATATTATTCTGGATAGTATTATTATAAAGTCATACAACACTAATTAAAATGATCAATAATTCTAGAAATTATAAGAAAAACAAATATGATTTTTAAGATAAACCCGGCCGAAGCCCGAGCAAAAGACCGAAGGCCCGTTAAAGGGGGTCTGGAAGGGCGAACCCGCCTGACTTTCATATGTATGGACCCCCTCTAAGAAAAATTCCTAGCTACGCCACTGTGTATTTTTATTTTACCTAAAATTCTATTTTTATTTTGATCAAATTTTACATTTTATTTTTGTGATCTTAATGCATAAAAATTTTTTTATTTAAAAAACAATCTTCAATTCTTTAAAATATAATTTTTCTCAAAATTCGGCAAAAAAGAATATTCTAAAAAAAATTTGAAGATTTTTTTTGATTTTATTTCAAACCCTGGTATTTTTAGAGTAAATATATTGTGTAAAATTGTTATAAAATCTTTTAAGTCGATGATAAATGTATGTCAGATTATAGGTAATGAATCGGAAAGAGATACTAATTCGGAGATTGGTACCCTTCGTACCAAATATATTCCAAATATAAAGAGAAAAAAATATGAGGCAATGCTAAACATGGCTATTTTTAGTTCTTGGATAACATCATATGTCAATATGATAAAATAAATACACAAAAAAACATTTTTTTAATTTATGCCAATATTTACATGAATAAGAATCCGTGGTTAAATAATCAAACAATAGTTTAAGGCGCTCTCTGCAAAATTCCAGTGAAGATATTTCAGAAAAGCGATAGATCAGATTTAGATGCATAATCAATTAGTCATTTTATTGCATTTCGTGTGTTTCTTTTAATTCTTAATAAATTTTCAGATAGTACTACGGATCTTAATAAATTAGGATTATTTTACAAAAGAATAATTAAACCATATGTTATTTTCTTTTCAAAAGTTATTTTAAATTTTATGTAGTATTTAAAATGGGCTGCAATTTAACCCGCTAGTCCGTCCACTCATGGTTTTTAGAAATGACTTCCTGCCCGCCCAGTTATCTGAAAAATTTGTTTACCCGCTCACAAGCCTTCCTAATATTTTAAAAATTATTTGATTGGTCTAATATATTTTATTTAAACAAAGTTTGCAATAAATAGTCTGTTCTGCTCATTTTGCCCTAGAAATACTTTATCGACCACTCATTATTTTAAAATATTTTAAACTCATCCTTTCGCCTGCACAATTTTTAAAATTTTTGACCTGCAAATTAATGACCTCTTACTATATGAGTGGCTTCAGAAAAAAAATGGGTGAATGACTTAAAGATTAACATCTATCACATGTTTGTTATGAATAGTTTATTATCAAATATATAATACTAATATTATAATATACTATCAATTTGACAAAGAATTTATGAATTTGTAATATTTTATATTTATAAGAATTATCTTCCCATTTTAAAAAAAAATTAAGTTTATGATCATCGATGCTAGAAAAAAAATCTCAATCAATTGCATTTTTAAAATTTTAAAACCTCAACATGTTAATTATTATTTAATTTATTAGTAGTCGTTATTAGAAATACGTTATATTACATTAATACTAAATAGAGATAAATTAAATTAACTGATTGATTTTTATAATTGTTATATTATATGCCTTAATCAATTTGGCATATATAGATAGTTATATATATATATATAATCATAATAATAAAAGATAATTTTGATTTATTCTTTCTATGATTCGATTTTTTTCTATTAAATAATAAGTATAATTAAAGTAAAATACAACATCTTAACAGTAACATCTTTACTCTTTAATTAATATTTTGAATCTCTTAAATTCATTATAATTTTATCTATCACATATTTATAAATATTTTAATTTCATTCATTATTATAAATTTATTTACCATTATTTATATAATGTATTTACGTTTCCTTTTAAAAGTAAACACACTTATTTAGGTTTTCTTTATCTTAGTTTCTTACATGTTTACGTTTTCTCTAGTTATTTTCCTTTGTATTAATTATTAAATCTTTCTCTTCCAATTTTTCAATCATTCTTCGTTAATTTTCTATATATTTCTATTTTTGTATTTAAAACCAACATGGAATTAAATTTAATATTATCTAATCTATCTTCACAGATTTTATTTGTTCATTTTAATAGATCTATTTGCATTTCATTTTTGATTTCGACGTATTTCAATGTCGATTCGTGCATATTTTATTTATATTAAGATTTATAACTTTTTATTTTTATAATAATTCCATTTTAATTTTGTCGCATTTCCATTTTATTTTGATTACTCTAACAGTGTCTGAAATTATAAAAAATAATATAAGAGTTATTTTTAGCTAATAGATATTAATGGATGATAATAAAAGAAATCTTTTAAAGTTTAAAAAGTAATAAATAATTTAAATAAAAATTTAAAATAAAATATAAGTTAAAAATATTTGAACAATATCTCGAAGGCAACTTATTATATTAACAATTAATGTAAAATCATATTTAATATAAAAATTAAAACAATCAGAATAATCTAAAAATAATGTAAAATGATAAATTAAATATAATAATAATTTTACACTTGTATAGTTTATCTTGAGGCAAATCCCAATTTAGGCTTATCATTGCATTTGCTCTTAAGAATAACAGTTTGAATATCAAATTGCATGATAAATAATATATTAAATATTTTCCATGTCATTGATATTTTCAATGATCATCCTCCATTTTAGCTTTTAAACTTAAAAATCCTTAATTGCCATGTGGGGGATGATGTTTTTGCAAACCGCTCATGGATAGCATACTTCAAGCTGATAAAACTAGTGAAACCTTTACATCTTTATATTATGATACCATAGATAAAAAGCGAAATATTATACATAAACTTTATCACGATAATGCAACTTTGATTTGGAATGGAAATCATTATCAAGTTTTTATTATATAACCTATAAATTAATTGCTAACTCTTTATTAAAATACTTTATTTTGTAATATACTTTTTATTTGTGTTATATTATTATTTTTTTTAAATATTATATTTATAAAAGTTAGTTATCGTAACTTAAAGAAAAAGATTACCTAATTCATAATTAAAAAAATTTGAGAAGTTATATTTATAAAATTGATATATTTCAATTAAGATATACTTGAGACCTGTAGAATAAAAATATTGACTCAAATTTGCTTCTGGTCAGATGGCAAAAATATCTTAAGCCCATTTATTATATACGAAATAATTTATAAATTTATTTTATTCTCTATTATAATTTATGTTTTTAAATATTAAGCAATAACTTTGATAATTTAATAAGGTTTATTCTATTTATTATGAATATTTCCTATTTTAAAAACTTTTCTTATTTTTTAAATTTATTATATAATTGTAATATTTATTTAGACAAAAAAAGGAAATTTATTATCGATATTTTTTTGCCAGATCTCTATTTTTTTATTGATAAACCTGTAAGACTAATATATATGCCATTCTATATAACAATTTTTTTTATTAATATATATAAAATCTACTGTATTTACTAATTACCCTTGAGTTGAATGATAAGATATGATGTAATTTGCAAAATGACATTTAATTTTTATTTTCTAATGTTTAGGGACTGGAAGCTATAAAGACCTTTTTTGAACAAATTCCAACCTCTGAACATAAAACAGATTGCTTGGATGCTCAACCAATTACACCAAATGTAACAAATGGCCAAACATCTATTACCTTAAATGTACATGGAATAGTCAGTTACGATGAAAACAGTAGTAATAGAAGATTACATCCACCTAAATTGATGGGCTTTAATCAATCCTTTATACTTATAGCTGAAGGTGATAAATGGAAAATTATATCTGATTGGGTACGTACTCATGATTGTGATAAAGTGCAATGAATATGTCTACAGAATTAAACTTCTTTGCAAAATACAATTATTTTTTTAAAATATATATTATTGTATTTAATTTCATAATATACAAAAACAACATAATCATATTGGGAAAATTAAATATAAATCAATATTTTTATTAGATTCAATATTCTGTCTTTTAATTTGATTATAGAAATGTTAATTACCCAGGACAAGTAAAATGTTCCAATTCATTAGTAGTTATAAATATTGAGCCTGATTTATTTGATATTGAACAACCAAGGTTGTATTTATATCATTTTAGATGTAAAATATATTTAGAATTAAAATATATTTTTTTCTGAAAAGTGATGAAATTTTTTTATTTTTGAAGATCAAAATCCACATCTACTATTGCAGTGGTTGGAACTAAAATTAGGGTAAAAATAGGTGATTATCTTTAAAATGTTGTAAAGTTTATATTTATCTTCCCTTTTATATTATCAATACTTTCTTTAACTAAAGGATATTTTTAACAACACAATTCATTTTAAAATCAAAATATATTTAAAAGTGAAGGATTTCTTAAAAATAAAATTTAAATATATTGCAATCTAAATTTTTAATTTAAAAAAAATAAAGGTTTTTTTTAATTTGGTGTTGTTAAATGGTCTGATTTAATTTTGCCAAAATTATATTATGTAAGCCCTGAGATTTGGCAATATTTATGCCATATATTAGTATATACAGGATTGCATTATATTATTTTGGCTAAAATCGTAATTGGGCCATTTTTAATAATCAAACCGTTTAACAACACTAACTTCCCCAAAGTCTATTTATCGTAAAATTAGACATTACATTTGATATTGTTTTTTCTTTATTCATTGAAAAATAACAATTTTATCAGAGTTGTTTAGGTAGCGTGCTATCTTTGTGGTAGCTATAGCTGATAGCGGCTACTTTTTCTGTAATTTAATTTTTTAGCGCGCTACTTAGCTACTTTTAATAAATATAGGTAAGTATAAACATGAAAATTTAAATATAATATAATAAATTATAATTTTTATGATTTATTATTTAATTTTGAAATTGAAATATATTTTCAAGTTGTAATTTATATTTTTATTTATATTATAAACCTAAATCACATGTTAATAATTTAAAATGTCATTGCCTATGGATATCCAAATCGTTGAAAGTGATTCAGACAATGATATTAAAGAAATGGAAGATACTAGGGAAGAAAATGTTATTAATAGCTATAATACCAATTTTTTATTCCCTAGATTTGAAAATTTTTTTAAAATATATAATAAAAACTAAAATTGGCTTCAAAATTTTTTGTTTAAAATGTAAAAAAAATATTTCCTCAAATCAACCCAGTGGCTATAACCTCAAGAAATACCTAAAGGTAAATTGATGATTTTGGTATAGGCGACTCTACATCCAAAAAGACTAATTCAATTCAAACCAAATTAATTAATAATACAAATGCCAATATAATTGGGTGATAAAGTTATTGTTGATTTTATAATTGATACCGTTCATCTAATATCCTTGGTTGATAATCCATCATTTACCATGATGACTAAAACTATCCCCTGGTACAACAATTTTATGTAGCCAGATATTAATAAATAAAATAGCAGATAACTTCAAAGTAATGAAAGATGCTCTAATAGTAGAGATAACATATATATGTACCACAGCAGATAGTTGGACACATAACAGAAGGTAAAAATTTATAAAATGCAACAAATTACCATAAATATTTATTTTTATTACATAAATTTTTTATTATCAAAATTCTATTTTGATATTTATAAATGTTGATTTTTCTATATTTACTATACAATAACATTATAAGCAAAAAATAAAACAAATTTTTTTCTAAATATTTTTATATAAAAAGTAGTTTAAGCTACTTGTAAAAAATAGTAGCTAATATCGTGCCACATTTTTGACAAATAGCGGTAGGGCACTTTTAAAAGTAGCGTTTAACATCTCTTAATTTTATATTTGTTTCCTATGGTTTATTTTTAAAGGTAGTAAAAAAATTAACCATGAACTTTTATTTATTCAAATAAAAATGATTTTCAATATGTTTTCCCAATATATTATTTCATGACATAGTAAAATTAATATTAATTTTTTAAAGGAAAATCAAAAATAAGTTGGAATAGTGTTAAACAGCCCTAATTGAGCCAATTTTTAAAAAGTCTACTCAATATTTTATTTAGAAATATATTACGCAAGCCTGAAGATTTTGGTCTTATTAGCGAAATCTCGCGGTCTAGGTAATTCTTTCTTTTTATAATATAGAGTTAGCCATTTTTAAAAATTGGCTCAAATCGAGTCACAACACTACTGTTGTTAATTGAGTTGGATGTGTAAAACCCAGACCCGGGGTTTGGGTCTAAAAAATCGACCAAACCAGCTCTGAGCACGAACCCTAAGCACAGACCCGGGTCGTGTTGTTATATTGTGAGTTGTGTCGATTTAATATACATGTTGATAATTAAAATATTTTTTTATTGTAATAATAATAATCACTGATAGAGGGTGGGGTGGGTCTAGCACCAATTTGGAATATAATAAAAATATACTAATTTCTAATTCACTTAAAAATCGTTAACTATAATACGCCTAGAATATGGATTTTTATTATATGCATTTTGAAGCATTGTTGAATCAACCGGTGATGCACCACCTTGGTTTCTCGTAAAATTTGTATAAATAAAAAACTATATTTTTTTAAAGTTTCCCAAAAATTTTGTAATAATTTATTTGTCGGAATCTTTAAAGGAGTGCGACCAACAAGTTTGTATTGACCAATGACTTATAATAATATATAGACTCAAGATACATTTATTCAAAGTGTGCATCAATGAAAACAGCTAGGGACGCCATTTTGATTATCCATGCAAACTTTATTAAGTATTTGCCTGATCATCGAGATAATAAGGAAGCAAGTTATCAATTTAATAGTAGTTTTTTACATGCGAATAGTTACTATATCTGTTACTAAAATGGCGGGGCCTGATTTGCATTTAACGTCGCTTTCAAATGTATTATTATGAATGTATCGTCAGTCTAGATATTAATTATCATATGTCATTGGTATTGTGTTTAATTGAATAAATTGTAAGCCCAGATAATATTAAGTGGCATCAGTTCACCCAAACTATTCGCGTTATTTTCTTAAAATTTTGCTACTTAATAAAGGAAAAGTCTAATATTTCTTCCTATAATTGATTTATATATTGAATTTTAAAATATTTATTCCTATAATTAGTATAAAATTTATAAAAATTTTATTTAATATACATTCGTGCTTACGCCAGTACTCCATTGAATATAAATATTCCATCATATGTTTTGGAATGGCAATGAAACTTTGCAAGTACCAAGGGAGCTTCATTCAACTAATCGGATTCGTTTGTGTGAACAATTAAAAGAACTTGATAATATACCAAAAAATTCAGTTATATTGTTAAAAGGCGGAGATACAACCTATAAATATGATACCGATACAGAAAATATGTTTGTTCAAGTAAGTTATAAATTAATTAAGCATGCTAGTCCGGAACACTCATAGGAGGAAGTTTCTATTATATAGGTGACTTTCCTCTTATAATGGTGTTAATTTTATTTGTCAAGATTCCTAACAAACCTTGTTTTCCCATATTTTTGGGTGCAATTCTAAGCTGCCCCCTGTTCATAAAAAAATTAATGTATAAACATCTTATTTAAAGGCTGTTGAATTTAAGGTAGGGGGGAGGGGGGTGGAGAAGTACACGTACATATTTGATTGTTAACAGTGGCATATCTAGGATTCTGCTAAAAGTAAAATAATTTACTTAATAATTTAATTTACAACTTAAAAAAGGTTTAAAAATATTAGATTCAAATCTTTCTTTGCCATTTATACCACTGATTTTTAATTAATTTAAATTACTTCTTTGACAATTTCCCTTTTATTTCATTTATTTCTATCATTTATTAATTTATTTATTAGATATAAGATTTATATTTTAAAGTTCACAAAAGGAAAGTTAAGCAGCTATTGAAATTAATATATGACATAAATGATTTTTTTAAAAAAAAGTTTATTGTTTATTTATGGATTAAATTATTTAAAATGTTTCAGAATTATCACAAAGGGTCAATAGCAACCAGACTGATCCTTCATTTTTGCCTATTTTTTTCATGGTTCATTCACCATATCTTTCATTTTTCATTCTTATGTAACTTTAGTAATTGTCATTTTTTCTAGGAATCCTATTTCCACTGGGCATTCGGGGTATTAGAATCTGGATTTTGGGGATTGATAGAAATAGAGAATTCTAAGGCTACTCTATTTGCGCCTAGATTACCACAATCATATGAAATCTGGATGGGAAAGTAAAAATAAATTTTTTTTAAAAACAATTAAGATGGAACCTTAAAAAACGATTTGGATTTTAACCGTTTAAGCCATTTTTTAGCCGGCTAAAACAATAGGCTAAACTGTTAAATTAAGTTTTTAGCCGAAAACTATTATTTGCCTCTAATTTTTTTTTCTTAAGTAGCTCAAATTTCAAGGAAAAAATACTAGTTATATCTATCCTCTAAAAATATAGGTCATTGCTTCTTCAAAACAAAATTTATTGGTTATAATACCATTTATATGTCACTCTTATTGTCAAGAAAATATATAACAAAAATTATCTAAATTTTTTTTTTTAAATAACTATAAATATGTTTACGAGAATTCCTTTTGAATAGTTGTGAAATCTTATCATCGATTCAGCTCAAATAAAAATAAATAAATAAACAAAACCTTGAAGATTAAACCTGTCTAATTTAAACGCAGTGTTGAAGATTAGTGTTGATAAGAGGCTCAATTTTTATAAAAACGGATAACCCAATATTTTAACGAAAAAAATGTAAGCCTTGAGATTGGTTACTAGATATCCAAACCTTTCTGCCATCTACGAGAAAATGTCCAGGACTGAAATATTGTGTTACCCGTTTTTAAAAACCCATCCGGTTAACAACACAGTTGAGATAGAGACACTTTATGGCAAATTTAAACAAGTTGCCCAATTTATCAAGATCCTTTCTGATAGTTATTAGGAATTTGATTTGGGATTCAGAATTTTAGCTAAATTAGGGATGTTACCCGAGTTATCTGAGAGCTCAAATTAGACAAATCTTACTGTAGATAATTCTAAGATTAATTGTTCACTTTTATATTTAAAAAAAATGGCGTAATTTTTTTTTAAAATTAACAAAAACGTTACGTTATGTTACTCGAACAAATGTAACAATTACAGAGTTTTTCGTTACATTTATTAAAAATGATAGAATTGGGAGCGTTACATTTGGGGCCAATCCTGCTTTATTGATCATTGTCCAACTCAGGGAAATTGTCCATATAACAGCCTTTTTTATTTAAATTTCTATTCGTCTATTTACAATCACATGACCTGTCAGTTTTGACAAGTTATCAATAAAACTGATGTTTTGAAAAGCGATTGCAATATCTTAACCCTAACCCATACAATTAGCCCTGATAGCCAATATCAATCCACCTTTAATCCTGGCCATACTTTAGATACTTGTTTGATTTTAAATACATCTCATCCAATTAACAAAAATTCCTTCAGTTGAACAATCATTGTGTTGAGCGATTTTCAAATAAGTCGTAGGCAACAATTTTAAACAATATTATATTAATGTTAAATTAATCTAACTTTTGTTCCCGTTTTTGTGTCATGAAACTTTTAAACTGGATTCTTGTTTCCGGTTCCCTAAAAAATTTTTTAAAAATGGGATTTTGTTTCCGGTAAAAAAATTTAAAAAAAGGGGTTTGTTTCCGTTTTCCTAAATTTTTTTAAAGATAGGTTCTGTTTCCGGTTCCCTAGTTAAAAAATGGGTACTATTTTCGGTTCCCCAAATTTTCTAAAAAAATTCTCAATTAAAAGATGGATTCTTGTTTCCGGTTTCCCAAAAATTTTAAAAGATGGGTTCTGTTTCAGGTTGCCTCTGATCTCCACTTCAAAAATAATTTTATTTGAAGGAAGAAAAATTATAATAAGGATAAAAAAAGATAAAAATTAGTATAGTTATTCAATTTTATTAAGGTCTTTCGCAAATGTCGCCCTTCTTTTGAGTCCACTAGGAATAAGAAAAAATAGCATTCAGACATATTATATAATAATACATGTATTTACTTTTAGGATTTTGACCTTGAAGGATTACAAAGATAAATATCTCGTTGATTCCGTTTCTTATCTCGAGGAAGTAAAGTTTTTTTTAAAAAAATATATTATATTCTTGTTCCTTTAAAAATCTCCAAATTCGATGGCCATTTATTATATTAGGCCCATATTTTTCTAATAATCTTGAATATAATAAATGGAAGTTTTTGTTTTATTCGTCCACTAGGAAAATTATTAAACAGAAAAAAAATGTTAAATAGCAATTTAGCATATTAAACTTTATAAAATAAAATGTGATAAAGGATACTAAAGAAAGAGCATTATTTTTATAAAACAAAATTTTGCGAGGATCTTTCCTTCATTTTTTTTTAAAGAAATAATTATTACATTTTTATTTTTAACTTTAAGATGATTCTTGTCTTGGCCACAATGAAACCTTCTACAATATTCACGCTGGTAACCATTATAATTAAATATTTTTTTTAAACTGTTTTTTTAAAAAAAAAAAAACAGCGAGAAAAACAACAATTTATTTTAATATTTTCAACTTTCATCCCTATAAATTATATAACACTATTTTATATATACATATATCAACAGAAAGGTTATAATACGGACAGCCAAAGACTAATGGAACCTCCCACATGTCCGGGTTTAGAAAAGTAATTTACACATTTTATCTTCGCAAAACTAGAGCTTGCAAAAAAGAAGAGAAGTTTTATATGCCCATAATTTTGAACCTTAATATCTGAAGATAATAAAATTGAAGAATTTTTTTTTATAGCTCTAAATTTTAGCCAAATATCAGGCAAAGCCTATCGATTTTACATACAGAAAGTAGAAAGATATTTATATATATATATTCATCTTTGGCTAAAATATTTGGATTAGCCGTTTAACAACACTAGAAATAATTGGCATTAAGTTCGTGAAATTAAAACTTTTCAATAGATAAATAAATGCTTTATTATTACAATATTATTTATACTTTTTAAACATCAAAGTTTTACGATGGATACCAAACTACTACATCCTATCATAACGGAATGGTAATTATAATAAAAATGTATATTTTAAAATTAGTTAAGACGGGCGTCTTGTTTAAAAAAAAATAAGCCTTAAATTCGAGATAATTAAGCCAAAAAAAAGTATATTATTTTCTAAGCCTCAAAATTTCGTCGAAACATGATCAAAATCTTTCTGCTACCTATTGGCGAATTTTTGGGGCTTAGGAGAAAATTTCTTTTGGCTAAAATCTTGAGTACAATATTTTCGAAATTGGTGAAACCGAAATTTATAACAACATTATTTAGGACTTATAAGTTTCAAAATTTGGCGAAATTATGTAATTTTTTGAATAATAAAAATGGAAAACAAACAATTTGAATGAAGAAATTAAATGGACGATAATAACGTGATATCAAAAATTAGGCCAATTTTAAGATTGATTAATCTTCGTATCATGCTTTATAAAAATTTACACGTGTCATCGAAAGGATTTCATAAAATCTTTATTCATTCATATTTTTTTTAAAAAGTGACTTTAAACTAGAATAGATTACATGACCTAGTTGTCCATAATAAAAATATTTATACGAAAAAAAATCAGATATTTATTTACCCCAAATTCTTCAGTATTCTCAGAACTCTTGAGAATTTCGTATCTTTAAAGTATTAGTAAAATTAAAATGCTAAATATAAATATAAAAAATTTACATTTTCTTTAAGCTAAATTTTTTTTTTCGTCAATGCTTATTCCTTATATATAGCAGAGTTTTCAAGACTCCCCAAGAAATGGAAGTCATCAAATACGTGGCCAAAGTTACCTGCGAAGGCCACAAGGAAGTCATGAGAAGAATTAATGCCGGGATGATGGAATACGAGCTGGAAGGGTAATTCTCGCAATAATTTAAAAAAAGCTTCTCTTTGGTCCCCAATACCTCATAGAGCGCTGGCGCCTGAATTATTACGGTTGCCAAAAAAGTGATGATTTAAAGGGATCTTAAGTACCTCATTAATTGAATCATGAATGAGTGTAATAGGATGGGATTGATCAGTTTCTTTTATTTGAAATATTATAAATTTGATTTAAAATAGCACCTTTGATTTAAGAGAGAAAACAACCTATATTTTAAAATTATAACACAGAATCTTCAGAAATTACGTTCTCTCGCGAGGTGGATGTAGACTTATGGCTTACAATCCTATATGTGCTTGGTAAAAAAAAAGGAATAATTTTTATTTTAAAACGTAAATTATTATTTTTACAAGGTTTGGAACTGGAACGAAAGCCAGTTCATATTGAAAATTCCAGAACCTTCTCTTAGAATTTCTATGAACCAGAACCCTCCTCTCTCTAGAACCGTTAGAGTAGGCTAGCAATTATTTAGTAATTGTATATTGTTCAAAATAAATAGAGTAAATATGAGCAAAGTAGGTCTAAATCTCTTTTTAAAATTATACAGAAAACGAAATTAAAACTGCTGTTTATTTAATAAAATTTTAGCGGTCCGAGTTCCGCCACGCTACACTACGGCACAGGCGAAAACGGTTGGTTACGCCTCGAAGCTGGCAACGTATTTCTCATGGATGCCGGCGGGTCTTATTGCGGTTACGCATCCGACGTCACTACCACGTGTCCCGTTCCCACGCGTCAGAGCATGGCAGCATGTTGCGACATATACGATGATCTCACCACTGATGACATCATGACTCGCGCCAAATCGAGTAATGTTAGGTTTTTCGAGAGGGACAACCTGGAGACCTCCAATTTAAAGAAATGTGTCTACGAAAGCGTTCTTAGGGCCAACAGATCCGTCGTTAAAATGGCTAAGCCCAGTAAGCACATATCAGTATCACCATTCGAGTATTATGTTGCTACATCTCCACTTTTTTTTTAAACAACATGATTGATGAGCGCCTATTTAAAACTAACAGATGTAACTTGGTTAGAGATGCATCTCCTGGCCGAACGGGTAATCTTGGAAGGTCTTAAGGGGGCCGGCTTGCTAAAAGGGCAGATAGACGGGATGATGAACTCTCGGCTGGGCGCTATCTTCATGCCCCACGGCGTAGGACACTTCTTGGGGATCGATGTTCATGACGTAGGGGGTTACCCAGAAGTAAAAAAATATATTAATTTGAGTTCTCCTAAGAACCTATTTTCTCAGAGGATTATAAATATTTTGGATTCGAATATTAATCTTTTATATCTTTCAAATTGCGTAAACAGTGAAAAGTATGATTTTATTACATGGTATAAGGCCATCTCTACCTCTAAGTCTTCGAGCGTAGGATGGTTCTTTACTATTATGACCAAATGAAACATCGATCTAACTAGGGTTCGATTTTTAAAAACGGCTCGATTAAGATTTTAGCCAAAACAATATTATGTAAGCCTGGAGATTTTGCTCGTAGATGGCAGAAAGGTTATAACAATTATTTTGGCTAAAATCGTAATCTGGCCATTTTTTAAAAATCGATTTAAATCGAGCTTTTTAACACCACTAATCATAACTAAATCACGGAAGAACTCAATATTTGTCATTTTTTTCGTTTTCTCCCCTATTAGTCTTTATTAAATATAAAAATAGGATGTAACAAAAAATAATATAATAAATATCTCGAAATTAATCGATAAAAATATATATAAATAAAGAAAAATTTGAACATTTTATTTTCCTAAAACTACTAACATATAATGCAATTTTTTTGAAAATATTTTGGGAAAATGGAAAAACAAACACAGGGAGTTGATTTTAATCAATATATGTGTTTAAAAGAGAGCTGGGGCAGTATGGGTAGGGCAAACCCAAAAATAGATCTCTACTATATTATTATATATTTTAAAAAATTTAAAAACCAAAGTAATATAGAAAATAATTTTAAGTAACACATAATTGAGTTCCATAAGAACGATATATTTGAATTGTATGTCCTGCCAAAGTTATGAGATTTCCCTGAGTTTCGAGTGTTCGAATTTTATTCTTGTGATGCTCAATCTAAAAAAGATTAAAAAAAACCGAAAGTGATAGGGTGCAAACTGTCCGTTGGTTGAAGTAGTTATAACTGGCGAGAATTTTTAATTATATAAGTTGATTTTTTTTAGTCCCTGCTAGCGTGAGCGGGTTGCTGTTTATATTTGCGTGGACGGAATTATATGTAATTAAAAACCTAAAATAAATTATATTGATTGGGAGGGGGGGGGGAGGTAGGAGGAGATTCATCATAAAAAAATTAAGGTAAGCTAATTTTTATATAGGGTTTGTAAGCTCTTAAAACTTTTAATATTTTTTATTTATAAGTATTGTATATATATATTTCAAATCTTTAAAATAGCGTTAACCCTTATTTTTTAAAAAAAAACATGGAAGCTGCATTTTCTCTTACGGAAAATTCTGTTCTTACCCTCTCCCCCCCCCCCACCCATTCATGTCACATGGTTATTTCTTTTAAAATTGATGTATATTTGATCTAAAATTTTGAGATGAGTTTTCGGTTGAGTATTATAATGTTCCTATCCATTTTAAAAAAAAACAATGGTTTCTTGAATTTTTATATAGGAAATCGCTATATGCCATCTAAGTTGAGAATTTAGGGAAAAAATATTATAGAGGAAAAAGGAGTAATTTCCCGCTTCATTGAGACTCAAAAGATAGCATCTAAGGGATTTCTGATGCATTGGCTTTATAGAGGGTTCCGTAATACGCGATCATGTTGTTTAAGTCCCACTACCTCACGACTTGGGAAACACGAAAGAAACCATGGAAAAGTTTTTCTTTCAAAATAAATTGTGATTAAATTAACCACAACTTTCTCGGATATATACATATATATTATTTTTATTAAAAAGGGCGAAAAACGTTCAGAAGAACCAGGAATATCCGCGCTAAGGACCAAACGGATTTTACAAACCGGTATGGTTTTAACGGTCGAGCCCGGCTGCTATTTCATCGAACCCGTAATTATTTTATTTGTCATCATTTTAAGCCAAGTTTTTGGATCACTCACCCTTCATGTAAATTGTGTAAATTATTTTTAAAAAAAAGAGATAAAAAATATTAAAATAAAATAGACTTATACGATGGATTGGGATCTTTTGATCAGGATTGTTACCTGAATTTTTTTCATTTTTTACCGAGGCTCTATGAGTGCTTTTGGGTTAGGGGGGGGGGGGTCTCTCCGAAATTTTGACGAAATTCGAGCCACATTATCATTATCCTCTCCTTAGTGATGCCACAGTTTCGCATATCTTATCATCAGCCCCTCCCCCCGTAATTTATAATAACCAATTGCTTTTAATTCAAATAAGAAAATATAAATATAAAACAGATACACACAGCTGTGTTTTCTTTTGCTCTTTATTTTTCTAGATCTTTATTAGCGCATTCTATTTATTTTTAAAGTGTTAATTTTCTATTATTTATTTTTTTAAACGACCATTGTAAACGTTTATAATTTTATTTTTTTAAAAAAATATATATATATATTTAGCTGCTGAAAAAAGCTCTGAGCGACGAAAAATTATCAAAATTTTTGGTGGAAGCCAAGCTGGACTTCCTGAAGAATTTTGGCGGGGTACGCGATTTATGTTTTAAGGAATGAAAGGGAGGGAAGGAGATAGTATGAAAGAAAAAAAAAGATGGCCTTATATTCTTTTTTTGTTAGAACATTGGGGCCCCAATTTTTACAAAGTTGACTACAATAGCCATATTGGAATAATAAATAAATAAATATTTATATATTTTTTTAAAAAAACAACAAATTAATATTGCTTATTCACAGGTTAGGATAGAGGACGAAATTTACATTGACAAAGATTGCGCCGTTTTATTGACCGATTATCTGCCCAGGACTATCTTGGAGATAGAACATTTTATGACCTCTTCGAGGGACAATGAAGGCGATTAATTTTATATTCACTCTCCAACATATTATTTTTTTAAAAAAAAGAGACTTTTCGCGACTATTTGTTTATTTATTTTATATATCATCGGCGATGCCAGCTCACTTTTTTAGATTTTAAAATATTATTATATTTATATATTATTTTTTTTTAAAACAAAATCATATTATATTTGTGAATCGGCTCTAAGAATAAGGGTTATATCGATAATATATGAATCTTGGTTAATGTATACATATTTTTCTTGTATAATTTAGCGTTCAAATGATTCAAATAAAAGTATCCTATTTTTAACGGTTAATTTTATTTCCAACTGTTTTCTTCTCAGCCTAAATCTATTATCGGAGAGTTTTTTTTGGATCATTTTATTAACCTTGAAAATTGACGATTCGCTTATTTAAAAGTGTACACATCGGAATCAGTTGCAGCGCCTGTGGTTTGTAAGTTGATTAAATGATATTCCTAAGTGCAAACCACAAAATGGCGCTACAGCTGACTATAGATCGCCAATTTAGCAGTACAAAAAAGAAGAAAAACATATATTTTTTTTAATTAGGAAATATTCTCATTCCTATTTTAAAGTTTTTTAAGTATATTTGGTTTTCAGTTAAATAGGAAGCTTATTGAACTAATATTAAAAACAAATTATATTAAAAAAGAATACTATAAATAATTTATTTATTTAAAAATATACATATAATTTAAAAAAAAAATTTCTAAATAATAATATCAAAGAGCAAATCGATGAGGTTTAATACAATTCGCGAATTCGACAGTCGTAAATTGCTTTATGATTTCAAACCCAGATGCAAAATTTTCCTTATCGTAGCAGGACCTTTCCAATAACCCCTAAAAAATCATTTAATATTAAATTCAGTGTTGTTAAACGGCTCTTTTTGAGCCTTTCTAAGAGGCTAACTCAATATTTCATCCAGAATACTATTATGCAAGCCTGAATATTTTGATTGTAGAAGGAACAAATGTTTGGACATCTATTACCGGACAATATTTTTCAGACGAAAATATTAAGTTAGCCGTTTATAAAAATCGGTTCAAACGAGTAGTTTAACAAAACTAATTAAATTCAGATTTTATAACAAATTGTTCAAAAAAACACCTTAAACTTATAAAAAAAAATATTAAATTGAAACGCTTTTTATACATGGAAGAATATATAATATACTAACTAAATTTGACGATTCAATCATTAATTTAATAGTGTACACAACATAGGAGTCAGCTGTAGATGACATTTTATGGTCTGCAACCTGCTAAATGGCATTTACTTTCTTTTAAAAAATAAATGTCATTTAAGTCTACCGCGCTATAAAATGGCGTGTACAGATGACTCCTACGACTTGTAAGTTTTTATTTTAACCAATGAAACGTCCGTTATTCCTTAATATTAAATTATATTCATCATCGGGAAAAATAAACTTCAAAAATATGTTCCAATAGTGGTAAGGTAAAATATATTTTTTGATAAGCATCATAGAACGTCTGGGAATAGACTGATCCACGGGAAACGTTTCGATAGGAGTCAGATCATAATCGAATTCGCATAGCATGCATTTATTGAAGCTGATTACGATAGGGCAAGACGAATAACCACTGGCCTGAATTTTTTGTTGTCATTAATCATTAATTTAACAGCTCGATGATAAGGAGTCAAAATTGTATATTCAACAAACCATTTTTTTTTAAATAAGAAATTTATTGGATAAAATTTAAATTGGCCCAGTCCGAATTCTGGACTGTGGGTCTGTGATGATAATCTAATTGTGGAAACCGTTTAAAAGAGTAATTTTTTTTTATTTTTTGGATATATTGCTGATTGAGCGAATGAATACATTGTTGCCCTCAAATTATAAAATTTTATCGGTCATATTTCATCTAGTATCAATTAATTTTTTTTTATAATATTTTCCGACTCATGTATTTTCCACCTCTATTTAGTTAACAAATATCGAAAAAATTATTTAAAAAAGTTTACTTTGAAAATTTTGTGTATGTGGCAAGGCAAAAATGGTTTTGAGTGAACAATTTTAGCGCCTGGAAGTGTATATATTAATTTAAAATGGTAGCGTTCTTATTTACAAATTTAAGATATTTGTAGGCAGGGTTGTGTTCGGGTTATAAGCATAGTTGCCAGATTCATTCAAGCAAAAATCTGAAGAATTTCGCCATAATTCAAAAAAAAATTAATGGGGCAAAATGGACCGATGGTCCCTTTCTTGGGTTTGGGATCATCTTTACAAATCCGATCTCTATCAATTAATTTTTATCTAAAAACAAAAGAAATAAGAAACATGGCAGTTTTGTCAAAAACTATTTAAAGCATTTTTCTTAAAAAAATGGTATCAAGATCCTAAAGATTTCGTGTTATAGGTGGTTTTTTAAAGCTAAAATCTTGATTTAGCCGATTTTTTTGATGACAGATTTATAGTGGGACTTGGAATAGGCGGTCTCGAAACCGGAACCGTTGGAACTTGATCAAATTTAAAATCCGGAAGCACTTATTCAAAATTTTATGGAAGCGAGAGCCATTTTTTTAAAAAATATATTCTGTAGAAGAAAAAGAACTCTTTTTTAGTGTCCGGTTTTGAACTCTGGTTAACGAATGAATGGGAAGAGAGGATTAAATTTACGAAAAGATTGATTATGCTACTTAATAAATAATATATAATTTGCACTAAAGGATTTACTTTATGAATGGGAGATTTTCCAGCCATTACTAAATTGAGATTTTTGTGGAGGACTCTGAGTTCGCCAGCTTTTTGGATATTATTATTATACGAGTATAAAAAAAATATAAAGTTCACATATTAAAAACCTGCAGGTCCGGTCCGGGTACACGAGCCGTGCCGTATAATTTAAATCGCCATTATCCTAATGGTACCTCTGCAGGTCTCTGATATATATGTGGTGTAAGCCTATAATTGAATCAAAAAAAATCAATGCATTTAACTACTAACACTAGTAAGCGGACACTTCTATATACACTTAAGCCCAATTTATTATGAGTTTATAGTAGGTGCTATTATAGATGGCAATCGACTAAGTTTAGCTAAATTTTTTTTGTCGACCAATTAGGCCGAAAAAACGGTTATCGTAAATTGTTACGGCTAATTTAGCCATAATCCGTAAAATTTTTACGGATGGTTTATGATAAGCTAGGCTTATAGCCGTAAGCGGCTCATATCCAGTTTATCTTTTATCGTAACATTTTTCGCATTTTATACCGGTAGGTAAAATCTAGGGGAAAGATAAATGGAGAAACAAAAAAGAAGGAAAGGGCTAAAAGCAACACATATAATTATATGAATAAATATTGTAGCTATATAAAAATTTTTGGTATTTTATTAATTCATATATATATCAGAGACCTGCAAAAATAACATTTACTCGGCCGGGTTCTTTTTAAAAATAAAATTCAGGCCAGGCCCGGATTTTTTAAATATCCGGCCCTGCATAAGGTATTTTTTTTAAAAAAAAAAAAAATTCTTCTTATTTTAAAGATGACCGAATAAAAAAAAAATTAAAGTGTTAAATTCCATTTAATTTACTTAAATTAATCTATCGTATATAACTATAAAATAAAATGCAAAATGTTAAAAGATATATTATTATATAAATAACACCAAGCCAAGCATATCATTAAACATGATTTGGTTTCGTTAAACATTATTAATTACTTACCTCATTATAAAATAAGTAACTTCAAACCCAAAACAAAAACTTTCATTCTTACAATTCCTTACCTCCCCTCCCCCCTTCAATCTCAGTCTTGCTGCGTCATATCTCTTCTTGTTATAGAAGTGCCTGCTACTAGGTACCAAGAGATTAGGGTAAAGCAATAAATATCAGGGGAACAAATGGTCCAATAGAAATAAAGATTTTTTTTACTTAAAATGTTGTCGGTTAGAAATCTGAAGATAAATTGTCCCACTTAAAAAGTTTAATTTTTTTTATTGAAATAGGTTATGTACAAAGAGAGAAGATTAATTTTACCAATAGCGGCCGCTGTTCTACTCTTGGGGGCATCGGTGCAGTCACCAATCCCAAAAATGTTGGAATATTTTGTACTGCACAAATAATCTTTATCCACGCACATGTATCCAATCGGATTCACTTTAAGATCAGTTAAGGGACTGTTTTTAAGAACATCCGGCACGCTCATTGGAGGGGTAACGTGCAACATTTCGTACTTTTATATTTTAACATATAAGACAAAAATAAATTTATCGTAAAAATTGTGGGGGAAAGGTAAATTTAAGTATATATATATCTTCAAGAAGACTGTCTTATACATTTGACAAGCTATCAATCAATTAATTATTTTAATTATCTAATAGTTCCTTTTTCAAAAAGTAAATAATTTAATCTTACAATTCGACAATACTACAAGCAATCGCGAATAAGAAATCACCGGGGAAAAAAATTTAACAAAAAAACTTGGATGGGATCCACGAGCTCGATTAATAAAATAAATTAATACAACTAAAGCTAAAATGGCGGCAAATTATAAAAAAATACTCACCATTTATCCCTAGTTTTTGAAAAATATGACATTAAGACAAAATATCTAAACCAAGCAAAAGAAAATAGAAATAGAGCGATATTTCGATATTTAAATTTCAGAAAATAATATCAACCAAAATTAACTAATCTATTTTTTTTTTTGAAATCAAAAATTATATTAAATTTAAAAACATTATAAGTGACAGCGCCTTCCTTGCCCGTCTCCGCCGCAACCGTAAACTTAGCTTCCTTATGTGGGTCGTCGACTTGAACCAGCGAATGAAGAGGATGAAAATTTATTCCGCGTTCTTTGATAATCACATCCAAGCGTTTAGAGTAATGAGGAACCATAAATATAGTCGGTTGCGGGGTCATGTAATGAAAATTCACGCTGCTCCTCGTACCGTGCTGTTCATGAAGGAATATAGGAATGTTTTTTTAAGAGTCGGTAGCATTAGATAGATAGGAGTAATTCCAATACCACCCACCCCTCAGCCAGATGTTTCAAATTCGTGCCGATTCGAATCCATAATTGGACAGTATAATAAATTCTTAAAGGTTGGTCTAGTATCAAAGGTTTGACCTTTGCTTCGGAAAATCCCAGAGATAATTAAAGAATAAACTCCCTTTATAGAGCATTTTCCACCTTTTTTTTAACACTTTAACCCCTCCCCCACTCACCCCAGTCTTATAAATTTTTAATAATTTCTTGTCTATCATACCTCGAGGGAAAATATGTCTGTTTCTTTAATATACATGTCTCATGGATATGGAAACTAAATGGAAAAATGTTCAAACGCCTCTTAGAGGTAGGTGATATTGGATTTACTATATAAAAGAAAATTTGAGATTAATAAACTTTTAGATTGCGAAATTAAATAAATGATTAAATAACAAAAACATAATGTTTACTATTCTCGTGTAATCCTCGGTGAGATATAAAATTTTTTGAGCGGCACCCGCGCATTTAACGGAAGTGTTCGGAAAGGTAAACACGGCGTTACCTTGTTTCAAGCGTTTCATGACTTGAAAAGTTTTCTTAACCGTTAGGGGCGAGTAATTGGAGCACACGTTTGAATTCGGGTCATCTAAACCTTCTTTCAGCCCTTTTATCTGTTTTTTTTTCAAAGTTGACATGTCAATCAATATCACAAAAGGTGAATGATAATTTATAAGAAATATTTTATTAAAGCTTTTCCATAAATTTTAGAGGCGAGCCAACAAAAAAACAACCATTTTTTATTACATAAGAGTGCGAGCTAATTAAGCGTCTTAGGTAAAAAAAAATGCTGTTTGCGTTTTTATTAATGTTTATAAATTGTGATCAATTTTCTTTCTCTTTCTTTCTTTCTTTCTTTCTTTCTTTCTTTCTTTCTTTCTTTCTTTCTTTCTTTCTTTCTTTCTTTCTTTCTTTCTTTCTTTCTTTCTTTCTTTCTTTCTTTCTTTCTTTCTTTCTTTCTTTCTTTCTTTCTTTCTTTCTTTCTTTCTTTCTTTCTTTCTTTCTTTCTTTCTTTCTTTCTTTCTTTCTTTCTTTCTTTCTTTCTTTCTCCATGCATTGTTTGCGTTTTGGTCGCACTTAGATTGTTTTATATTTCGCAAAAAAATTGTTTTATTTAACTCCCTTAACCTTTTTGTTTTTAAATGTTATAAAGTTGAGAAAATTCCCATGAATATAAATTTTATTATATACCTCAATTTCGATGAAAGTCGAATTAAAAAATTAATCATAATTTAATGACGATTTTATAAGTCTGAATGATAAGAAATCTAACAGCCCAAGGCCCGGAAAGTGTGAATTTAAGATATATATCGTCACCCGAGCATTATCTATCTCCACTTTATATAATTTTACTAAGAGAGGCAATTTTAAAAATTAAGTTTTTTTTATTATTGTTTTCGATAGGATGGTTAACCAAGTATAGGATTTAATTCGAGTTATTTTATAAATAATTCGGATTTTTTTAAATGTAAATTGAATGGTACAGTTATAAAAAAAATGTCATTTTTGACAAAAAAGTGGGTATAGAACAATCTAATTCTCATGAGACGATATATAAATATTTTTTTAAAAAAAATATATAGTCCTATACGTGCCAAAAAAAAATAGCATCTAAGTTTCAGGATTTTGTCAAACAGAGGCCCAAAAACTTTACGGCCATTTTTGAACAAATTTCGAAGCTAAATATTTTTTTATTGGCTTAAAATCTTGATTTAGCCTCCTCTTTTTTTAAATGAAAAAATCGCCTAACCCTGCTCATAGTTAGCACGTGTAAAATGGAAGGAAGGAAGGAAGGAAGGAAGGAAGGAAGGAAGGAAGGAAGGAAGGAAGGAAGGAAGGAAGGAAGGAAGGAAGGAAGGAAGGAAGGAAGGAAGGAAGGAAGGAAGGAAGGAAGGAAGGAAGGAAGGAAGGAAGGAAGGAAGGAAGGAAGGAAGGAAAGAGGGAGAGAAGAAAGGATTTTATATATTTTGTAATACTTAGACACGAATTAGCGACTAATTATAAATGCAGGGTAAATCGTGATTTTATTTTTGAAGAGAATGATTAATTCGTTATAGAAAAATGATATACTTTATCGAAGTCCAATTTCAGCCCTAACGACACAATCATATAATCGTAACTAATCTAAAAAATAATACATAAATTAAGTGTATAATATTTATAGATAAATTATTCGATGAAATTAGGATCTGGTTTTTTGGAGGATTAAGGGAACTAAAAGTGCAAGTAAGGGTAATCGATGGGAGAGTGCCGAAATTTCATCCTTGTCTTTATGAGTAAAAAAAAATTTAACTCATTTTTAATTTTAATTTAAAAAAAACAGTGGCAAAAAATATATATCGTGGATGCAAATATGATATTAACAACGAATTAGTTAATTTACCCAGAAAAATCTTAAATTATAATACTAAGGGATGATCCATCCGTGCAAAAAACGTTTGCAATAGGGTTAAGGTAACAATGATTCTACTATCCCTTCTTTTTTATATCTTCTTCAGTGTTCGCCTAATGAAAAACGTTTTTTTTTGTTAAATTAAAAAATAATCGAATAGTTTATCCGAGATAGTCGTAAGAGCAGTTATCGACAATAATTACTATATTAAGAGATATAAGAACATATATTGAAAGGGGATGGGGGTGGGGAGGAGGGCAAATTAATGCATGTGTGCTTTTTTTGCTTAGGGGCGGCTGATTGGTTTAGAGTCGGTTATGCTAATAGTTTTTGATTATATAGCACACCTATTCAAAAACGAATATTCAATTCGTAATTAAATTTGATAGTAAGATAGTCTATTCTTACTCGATTGGTACGATTACGTAAGCAAATTATTCGACTCGTTCAAATAAATCAGCTATGAATAATTTCGCTATTCGATTAGTAATTCGTTTATAAATAGGCGCTAGGCATTTTATACCTCATGACGTATAGTCACCCGACTCGACCTTTAAACCGGTGAGTGGAGGGGTGGGTATATATAATATATGTCGTACTCGTATTGGGATACGGAATTCCTTGAGGATGGAAACTCTCAATTTTATATTTTTTTAAATTTCATAATTCTGATTTGACCTAAAATGGATTCTAGCACCTGAAGAATAATACCCTTCCCTACAAACTTCTGATAATATTAGTTTTCAAAAAACTTTGTACATGTTTTTTTAAAAAAATTTATAGAGTATTTTAATTGTTCTAAACAAGATTTTTCAAAAAAAAAATTTATAGATCGTTCTATTTGAGCCGATTTATTTTTTTTTAAAAAATGGGTAGCTCAAGTTATTTTATCCGGAAAAATATTACGCAAGCCTGAAGATTTTGCTCATAGATGACACAAAAAAGCCTGACAGATCCCTCAAAGGATCCTGCCATGTCAAAGATATTGAAGGGTTATTATGCGTTAGAGCAAACGAAAAGCCTGACAGATCCCTCAATGAATCCTGCCATGTCAAAGATATCAAAGTGTTATTATTCGTTCGAACAAATGAAAGATTTTGTAATCACTAGTATGGGGTTATTTCTAGGTGTTTTGTAATACATTTTCGGTCAAATCATATTGATTTTTTTTGGAATTGGTAAATTTTGAATCTCAATCAATTATCCATATCCCAATACGACAAATAAATTAAGTCAGAGGCTCAGTTTTTTTTTCTTCAAAATTTCGTCATTTGAAAATATAATTTTTGGCTGTTATATATTTTGTACAATTGTTTCGAAACTTTCTTCCTTCCTTCCTTTCTTCAATTTTAAATTCCTATTTTCTTTTAAAAAAATGATATGCTATTTCTCTCTTTCTTCCCCATATTGCATGAATTAAAAAATTATAAAGTTTAGTAGTATAGAGGGCAAACTTAAATTTGATAAATATTTTCGTTTTTTTATGAGCAATTAATTTTTTGAATCCTTTTTTGAAAAAATAAATATTAATATTATTATATATAGGAATTGTGATATGAAAACATTAGGATTCGGGGAATTTCTCCATTTCCTCCAATCTACATAGAACCATTACACTATATGATTATGAAGCGGAGTTATATTTTTTTTTATATATAGTCCAAACGTTCAAGCTGTGTCCTAGCTCGATTTAATTTGGATATTTAACTGCTTTTTAATATAGGCTAAAAAGTTTTTGAAGGAGGACACCCTATTTTTGGTTTGTTTTAAGTATTTGGTTGGCATTGTTATTTTTAGTATTTTATTCTCATTTTTTTTTATGATTTTTGTTTTAAATTTTTTCATTCGTTTTTTTTTTGGCTATTCAGTATTAAGTAGTGTTGTTAAACGGCTCGTTTTGAGCCGATTTTTAAAAACGGCTAACTCACTATTTTCGCCAGAAAAATATTGATTAAGCCTCGATATTTCGATACTATATGTCTAGACCTTTGTTCCTTCTATATGAGCAAAATCTTCAGGCTTGCGTAATATTTTTTCTGAATGAAATATTGAGTTAGCCGTTTAACAACACTAGTATTAAGCCCCGACCTATTATTTTAAATTTATTAATTTATACACAGTTAATTTAAAATGCAACTTTTCAAATCCAAAAATAATCGATTATTTTTAAAATTGAAATACAAGTATACAAATTTACAATATTTTTAATATATTTTTTTAAATTTAAGCAATTTCAAAATTATAAAAAAAATTATGAATATTGTACACATTATTTTTTTTGAATATTTTAATAGAATATATAGAATCGATATGCCAAAATGCCATACAATTTCCTAACTTTTATTGATATTTTGATTTACACATTATTAATAATATACTAAATATGGTAAATTCGTTTTGAAATTATAGTATAAGCGCGTCTTTTTTTTTATCAATTAATTAAAATTATATATTTTTAAAAAAAAAATTGATTTATTTGTACAAACTCCACCCCCCCCCCCCCCTCCCTTTAAGGATAAAATTTTTTTTATTTAAACTTTTATTAAGGAGCGAAAGGAAGAAATAAGCTAATTTTTAATATAAAAACAAAAATAAATACCTACGATTTCTCAAATGTTTTTTTATTTTTGCGAATTTTTAAACCAAGTTTAGGACACGGCCTAAACAATGAAATAGAAGGAAAAAACTGATGGTTAAATTTGGCATCATTGGATGAAAATGTATGTACAAAAAAAAATGAATAAATAATTTATTATGAATGCTTTTAAAACAATTAATGAATGCTAAATATTTTAAATATTTTTGTTCTTGAACATGCGCATTTGTACATGATTTGCATCTTTGTCGTGTGTTTCAAGTTACTGACCTATTGCCGGTGTTTAGAGATATATGAATGAAAAGGACTTTTGACCAAAATAGTGACATTTCCTGCATTCAAAAAGAAAAAAAATTTGACATTTTGTGAAAAGTGACAGTTGGCAACCCTACCCTCTAGAAACTCTTTAGTTTCGATAATTTAACCGTTAAACAATAATCAGTATTTGAAAATGATAGTGTGCCATGGAAGGGAATAGATATTTTTTATAAAAAGGGGAGAGCGAATACCAAACAAGTTTAATCTTACTTATCCTAAGAGGACTAAAGATTCAATATGAAATACTTAGAAGTCCATTTTATTCTAATAAATTTTTTAGGTAGAAGTTCGACGCGACTCAGTCCAAATCCCAAATTCCAACTATAAGGTATTTACCTGGTAACCCCTCATTCTCAATTAGCGCTAATTCGAGCTGACTATGAATTCAGGGTTGTATAACATTATTGTATGAGCTGGATAAAAAAAAAATATACAGTAAGACCGAAAAATCTTTTCAGTGATTATCATGGGTCGGTTAGAGCCGAGCCTATTTTTAATGCAAAGCATAACTTTATAAATAAAGCGCTACGATATTCTGAACTGGTTTATCGATATTAGGTATCTTTAAAAATAACTATTTGTCAGCATTAGTGGAACTGAAATTATAAGCTCCGAATATCTATCCATTTGTTCATAAAATACTATGGTATTTGATTGGTTTTAAAAAATTCAATCCGAAATCTCCCCTTTTATATGATTAAAAACGATTCTGATTTCATTGTTAAAAAAAAATCGTGATTCGAAAGTGGGTTTTTTTTTATATAAGAAAAGGTTCTATACCTACAAAAAATATGAATCAAAGACAATATATGCACTATTCGTATTTGATTCCTATTTTAGAATCGAATAACTGTATCATTCCCAATCTTGGAATAATTACACTGCATTCATAGTTAGCGCGAATTCGCTGGCGGAGAGTACTTGTATAATACGTCGCAAATTCCCGCTCCCTATGAATGAGGTTTGAATTCGGTGGTACGAAACAGCGTAAAACGAAACAGAGAAAAATTGGGAATCATCTCCCAGAAAATTTTTAAAGTGAATTTGAAATTAATATTAATAGATGATGGGGAAGTAAATACATCTAATATCATCTTTCTCCTCAATTTGATTTTCAAAAGTCCATTTTTTGAAGGGATTTTTTTTTTTTAAAAACTTATTTTAAATGGATGTATTTACTTCCTTAAGCATGCATCTATTATTATATTTCAAAATTTAATTTAAATAATTTTCAAGGAGATATAAACGACATTTCCCAATTTGTCGCCGTTTCGTTTTTCGCTATCCTGTGAGGGTTTACACATATTCTTTAATTCCTTATTCTTATTGGCATGAATAATAAAAAAAACATTAACCGGATTCGATGATCAGATTCTTTAAAAATTATTTTTTCAATAATGAAAAAATAAATTTTTTTTTTAAAAAAAGCGATTTATATAAATCTGAGTACATTTTTAAGATTTAAAAAAATTAAATAATTTTGAATATTTAGAAATAATTTTGAATATTTAGGAAATAATTTTGAATATTTAGGAAATAATTTTGAATATTTATAGGAGATAATTTTGAATATTTAGGAGATAATTTTGAATATTTAGGAGATAATTTTAAATATTTAGGAAATAATTTTGAATATTTAGGAAATATTTTTGAATATTTGGAAATAATTATTTAAAAAAAAAGAAGGTTATTAATCGTAATTGTGTTATTCGTGTTTGGAAGATACAAATACAATTCTTTTTAGTAATGTCATAAAAGCCTGATTCGGGTCATTTCAAAAAAGGCCCGATCAAGATTTTAGCCAAAAATAATATTAAGCAAGCCTAAAGATTTGGGCAAATAGATGTCCAAACCTTTCAGCCATCTGCGAGAATAATCTCTAGGCTTACATATCATTGTTCCAGAGCTATAATCTAAATAACAGAATATGGTTTTAATATGACATAAAAATCCACGGTTCAACATAAAGATTTTTAATATTTTTGATCTTCAGTGATGCTCAAATTTTTGGGCGAATTGAAATGCTCATTTAAAGATTTTTGTTAAACCCTCAAAAAAAAAATCTTATAAATATTATACCTTTTGGCCCGATTTAGTTATGACAGTATTATTTTCGGGATCAAATTTAGCTAACGAGTCATTGATCCAAACAGCATTTTTGGGCATAACACTGGCAGTTGACCTCGCTGATTCTTCGAATGTTTTTATACCGGCGCCTACTAGACTCCATAGCGGTTGATAGTAATGAACCTAATTATTTAAAAAAATATAAATATATTTTTAAAACTATAGTTTTTAAACCAACGGGAGGAGAATGCCAGTCATGGCTTTGTCCTGAATTCACAGTTAGCGTCGCGATGAAGTACACAAAATATGCTGTATTTTTGTTTTCTTAGCCGTAAATGAATTTTATATACTTCGCCATGAATTCGAGTTAACTGTAAATGCGGGATTAGGAAAGGACTCAATGAATTCACTATTTCAACTCGTTAAATCATGATGCCAAGTTCTTTTTTTCCTTTTTTAAAAAAAAAAAATGGTAGTGATTTACCATTATCTTTGTCACATTATAATTGATTTTCGTGGCTTAAAGTGAATTATGTTTCCGCTTTATCAAAATAGACCTGCAGAAGCTCAAATTTTTTTAAACCCGGCCAGGCAAGATTTAAAAAAAAATGAATCCTATTTTTAAATTTCCCAGATTAAGAAACAGTAAACATTAAATCCTGTCATTAAGATAAAAAATAGTTAATATAAAAAATATCAGAGTTGCAGCATTTGAATGGCCCGGTCCGGACCTGATTTTTTTGAAAAAAATTTTATCGACCCGACCCAAGTTTTTTTTAAAATATATTTATTTTTAATTTTTATAGCGAATAATGGCGATTTAAAATATTGGGATTTAAAATATAAGGCCCGACCCGGGTATTAAAAAATATTTTTTAAGCCGGGCCTGGGTATATATAATAAAATTAAAATATGGCGGGATTAGAGCCGGGCTTGCAGGTCCCTGATAAATATAAAAAGAAGCATTACCTCTGAGAGTTTTAACCTCAGCTGTGTCTCTATTTGAGATGGCCCTATATCAATAAAAAAATCCTGGAAAAACATGACAACATACAAATACCGTTCGGTCTATCATACAATCGAAACTTATTACCCAAAGAGTTCTCGGGGAAAAAGCTCAGTCAAAATATTGCAGCCCACGGAGGTTATATAACTTATCTTTATTTGCAAGACAACAGCCAAATATATATTAATGACGAAACATATTTGCTCCAATCGCTTTATAGTACAATAAAATATCCTGGTAAAATTCAATCATTTATATTCCCGATTTTATTTGGAGTCAAACTAATTACCCTCATTAAATCTAACAAAGACATCAGACCATCACCATTAGGAACAGTCTTTCGAAGACCACAGCCAAAGTCATTTGACCAGCTGGTGTTTTTTAATATTTTTCCTATCCGAAACTAGGTTTAGAAGCAATGGCTCATGAAGCTCGAATATATCTTTATAATAATCCCTCGAATGCAGATCTAGTTATAATTGACTCCTCCAATGACTACAAATGTACTCCACAGAAAATATTTCCCAGTTGAATTAACCAGGCTACCAAGATACTTCCCTTCTACAAGTTGGAAACATATCACCAGCTTAAGATCATTGAGCAAAAGGGACTCTTTAGACTCATTTCTATCCTGTCTTGGTCTTGATTGTATAAATGAACGAATAAATATTCTGCAAGCTTAATCTCCATGTGTGGATACATGGATAGCGAATTAATTTGTGGAATAAGATTAAATTATCAATAAAAATTCGTGTAATTTTATAATCTACAATGTAATTTTTTTTTTACAGTTAATAACATTTTTATATCAAATTACAATATATTAATCATAATAAATTTCTACAATATAAATCAAATATTTCATATTTATACCATCGCATTCATCATTTAAACATAGATTTTTAATTCATTTATTATGGTTGATAGATTAAAAATGTAAAGAAATATAAATTTTTTATTTATTTATTTCTTTCTTTCATCAAAATTCTCATGCGGAGACTTTATAATTTTATCAATTGAAGAGTATCAATGAATGTAAGGATATTAACATAATATTTATTCTTTTTATGCCCCGAAGAAGTCCTGTTCAAAAAACGAATCAAAAAATGATTAATTCGTAATTCGATTTAAAAATACATGCATTATTTTATTATTCGATAACTGATAATGAATCGAATACGGATAATTCGGTATTCGCTTCTTTTTTGAATAGCCCCTATACGCCGAAGTCAGAATAGGGCCTAATCATCTATCATTTTGATAATAAAGAAAAAATTTCACTTATTTAAATGATATAGTCACTCTTTGCTATAAAAAATAATAAAATTTGTTTTTCTTTATTAAAAAAAATGAGAAAATATAATAAAACAAATCTTACCAATGAAGGCTCTATTATAGCCACCTGGTTCTTGCCTAACTGCCTAGAGAATATTGATCCCGCTGAAATTCCTCCGCTACCGCCACCCGCGATTACTAGTTTGTAATGATTGATATCCGCGAACAATCTCAAAGTTTGCCTCATAGATTTTTTTTTAATCAGTGCAAAAGTTGCAAAAGTTTATAAAATTTTTAAACATTTCTTTTTTTTTATAAGTAAAATAAAAATTATAATTTAGACAAATATTAAATTGAGCAAGGTTATATTATATTATATATCATTTCTTATATGTATTTTAATTGTTCATTTTTTTAGAAGTTAAATACAAAATTTTGTAAAAAGAAGAAAAATATTTATATTTAAACAAGGATTCTCTCTTTATTAGGTTAAATTTAAATTGGTAAGAAAAATAAAATAAATAAATAATAAAGATGAGGAAAAATTTTGCTTAAAGAGATAAAAAAATAAAATAAAATAAAACTTGTTAATTTTGCTATTTTTACAAGATAAATAAATGCGAAAATTTTCATCTTTTTGTTTTAATTTATTCTTGTTAGATCATCATATTTTGGTAATTAAAAAAGATAGGGAAAGAAAAATCGATATATTTAATTTATTATTTGTTTTCTTGATTTTTGATTACAAAGTAATAGTAATTGTATAAATATTTTCAATTTTTGGACCCAGACTTTGAGTAAACCTTATTGGATTATTCATAGGGTTTCAACTAGTGATCTGCATCGGGCCTAATTTTTCATTTTGCCGGCCCGGCTCGAACCCGAAATTTTTAAAAAGAGTTTTGCCATGCCCTTTGGGCCTGACCGGATTCGGGCCGGGTACGGGATGGGCCTAACTTTGCAAATCTCTAGTTTCAACTTCATTTCGATCAATTTATAACCGTTTTTTCATAGTATATAGTAGATGAGTAAAAATAAGAAGAGTAAAATATATATTTTTTTAAATAAAATTAATTTATCGATTCCTACAGCGTAGAAACATTTTTAAATAATACTAAAGTGAGTTAAAAGCTAAGTCAAACGAGTGTTGTTAAAGGGCTCAATTCGAGCCGATTTTTAAAAACGGCTAACTCGATATTTTATCCAGAAAAATATTACGCGGGCTTAAAGATTTTGCTCACAGATGGCACATAGGATTGAACATCTATTGGCTAAATCTCGACGCTTATGCAATGTTTTCCTGGCTATAATATTGAGTTAGACGTTTTTAAAAATCGGCTCAAATAATCGTAACAACAAACACTAAGTCAAACTCATTCTTCACAGGCATTAACCGGGTTCCCTCTCCTTATCTCTCCTTATCAATATAAAGTTTTATATTACGTTCTAAATATTTTTTTTTAAATATTTAAATTGATACTGTAACCGACCAAGAATCGTAAAAAGTTTCATTCGGTGTCGTTAGCTCCTTTATTTTCAATTAGCCTAAATATTGTCAATTAAAATATTATTGAGAAATAAGGATTAAATATATAAATTTTTACTTTTTATAATATTATATTATAATGTTATAAGATTTGATCTTATTTTTATGAAATTTAAATAAAGTTGTAATTAAATATTTTGGTTTTTTTATTCATATATGAATATAGGTTTTTTTATTGGGGGGGGGGGGGGTGAGTATTTAATTTTTGTAGTTCGATTTTTAATATTTTTAATTATGCAAATATTTTGTTTTGTAAATTATTAGTTATAAATTGTAAATCGTCTGTTTTTATGCGCATTCAAATTTTTACACGAAAAATATTTAGTTCGTATAAAAATGAATAAAAATTATATTTTTTTTATATATGTTTCATGAAATAAAGTAGATTTTGTCCTAGTATGTTATGAAAGCAGGTTTTCCCATTTAATTTTGTTAAACGTCAATACTGGATCATTATTTTGATTTTTAAGAAATTAATAAAAAAAATTATTTGGATATTCATTTTATAAACATTTTACCATCTTCTAAAGATTAAACTTTTCTAAGTTAATTTATTAGTTAACTTTCAATAATATAATATAGGCTACTTTTAAATAATAATGAACTGAGTAAGGGAGTTAATAATTATCGTCTTTTAAATAAATGGACACAACATTAAAGTAAATTTAACTAGGAAAACAAAAGAGATTTAATACTCATGACAACTGTAGGGCAATATATTTTTTTAAATGGCACATTTAAGTAGTGTTGTTAAATGGCTGAGCCAAGCCGGCTTAGCCGAAAACTCAGCCAGTTTCTGAGCCAAAAATTCGGCTCAGGCTCAAGCCGGCTCATTGAGCCGGCTGGCTCAAGCCGATGGCTCTAGCCGATGGCTCAAGCCGATGGCTCAAGCCGATGGCTCAAGCCGATGGCTCAAGCCGATAGCTCAAGCCGATGGCTCAAGCCGATGGCTCAAGCCGATAGCTCAAGCCGATGGCTCAAGCCGATGGCTCAAGCCGATGGCTCAAGCCGATAGCTCAAGCCGATGGCTCAAGCCGATGGCTCAAGCCGATGGCTCAAGCCGATAGCTCAAGCCGATGGCTCAAGCCGATAGCTCAAGCCGATGGCTCAAGCCGATAGCTCAAGCCGATGGCTCAAGCCGATAGCTCAAGCTGATAGCTCAATCCGATGGCTCAAGCCGATGGCTCAAGCCGATAGCTCAAGCCGATGGCTCAAGCCGATAGCTCAAGCTGATGGCTCAAGCCGATAGCTCTAGCCGATGGCTCAAGCCGATAACTCTACCCGATGGCTCAAGCCGATAGCTCAAGCCGATGGCTATTAGTGTTGTTAAATGGCTGAGCCAAGCCGGATTAGCCGAAATATGGAATTAATTTTTGGGGGAAAAAAAGGGAGGGTAAATAGATAGAATTGGAAGTTAGTTATGCTATGCTATTATGGAAAAAACAAAAAATAAGTAAAAAAAAAATGGAAGTTATTAATATTAAAATAAATAAAACTGAAATTTTTTTCGGCAAGTTTGGAAATTTGTTTTTATAAGGGCTATGTGTGGAATAATTGTAAGCAGAAGCTAATCTGATCATATAAAACTTAGATTGTTTCAATCAAATACGGGAGACCGGACCGGGGTTATTTTTATCCACAAAAAATAAGTGTTATAAAAATAGACTAAGCAAATTTATCAATATAGAATTTTAAAAAATATCATGGTTTATCAAGTGATTAAATCTATATTTTATTTACTTTTAATTTAATGACCCGTAAAAATTCCCTCAAAACTATCAAAAGTTTTAACAATTTCATTAAAATTATTTTATTTATTCTATGACAAATATAAAATTATTCACAAATATTAATAAAATGAATATCGAAAAAGATAACTTTGTTTAACAAATTTATATTAAGTTTTATGATTATAATATCGTCTAAAGTATATTTGTCAAATTTATTTCGTAATGTGGTTACTTCGTAGTGCACTGAAGGATCTTTCAATCGATATATGTGACCAAAGATCAGTTAGAACTACTCGCTAGAGGGATATTTTGGATAAATGTAAAAATATTTTGATGGGAAGGCAATTTTAGGCTATACATTAATTTGTAATATCTATCGAATTAGAGTTAAACAACAAATAAAAGCATTTCAGCTTAAAATTAAAGTCGGGCCTACTAGAGTCAACTCCTGAGGTGACTAATGTCAACTCCTGAGCCAGCATATCAAATCTGTTTGAGCCTTAACCAATTTTTATAACTTTAGGGCAAGAATTAAATCAACATAAATTATCCTCATTTTTCGATGATATATGAATTATAAATATCTAAAAATCGATAAATTCCTATAATAAATTTTTCCCGGTCTTAGAAGGTAATTATTTCGAATTCCATATCAATTATTTAATTAATATGAAATTTAATTACTCTCCTCTAATTTTTAATATAAGTATACAATTTTTTAAAAAAGACTGTTATTGAAATATTCGTCCTCTATGCATAAAATTGATCAAAACATTAACAATAAATTATTATAAGTTGATTTGGGTTGGTGCTCAGGTCAGTGCTTGGGTCGGTGCTCGGGTCTATGGATTTGGTCGACCAATTTGTTTGCTTTGGTTTTGGTTCATTTTTTCGACCAAAAACCCAACCAAAAATAATGCTAATTCGACCCAACCTAGCAATTTAACTACACGAATATTTACAATATATATTTTTACCCATTTGCGTCAAAAAAATCAAATATCTTTAAAAATAACGATTATGACAACAATTGTCACTTTTATATGGTACATCTTCACTGAAATTTTAATTTAACTTGTTTACAATATATATTTTTACCTATTTACTTTAAAAAAGTTCAAAAATAACGATTATGACAATTGTCACTTTTCTTACATCTTCACTGAAATTTTAATTTAACTTGTTTACAATATATATTTTTAGCTATTTATTTGTAAAAAATTCAAAACAGTTCAAAAATAAAGTTTTGGACAATTATCACTTTTCCATAGTACACTTTCACTGAAATATTAATTTACATGTTTACAAAATATATTTTTACCTATTTACTTTAAAAAAACTCAAAAAAGTTCAAAAATAACGATTATGATTTGTCACTTTTCCATAGTACACTTTCACTGAAATATTAATTTAACATGTTTACAAAACATATTTTTACCCATTTACTTTAAAAAACTTAAAAAAGTTTAAAAATAACGATTATGACAATTGTCACCTTTCTATGGTACATCTTCACTGAAATTTTATTTTAACATCATTATAATATATATTTTTACCTATTTACTTTAAAAAAAGTTCAAAAATAACGATTATGACAATTGTCACTTTTCCATAGTACACTTTCACTGAAATATTAATTTAACATGTTTACAAAACATATTTTTACCTATTTACTTTAAAAAAACACAAAAAAGTTTAAAAATAACGATTATGACAATTGTCACCTTTCTATGGTACATCTTCACTGAAATTTTATTTTAACATCTTTATAATATATATTTTTACCTATTTACTTTAAAAAAACTCAAAAAAGTTCAAAAATAACGATTATGACAATTGTCACTTTTCCATAGTACACTTTCACTGAAATATTAATTTAACATGTTTACAAAACATATTTTTACCTATTTACTTTAAAAAAACACAAAAAAGTTCAAAAATAACGATTATGACAATTTTCACTTTTCTATAATAAACTTTCACTGAAATATTAATTTAACATGTTTACAAAACATATTTTTACCCATTTACTTTAAAAAAACTTAAAAAAGTTTAAAAATAACGATTATGACAATTGTCACCTTTCTATGGTACATCTTCACTGAAATTTTATTTTAACATCTTTATAATATATATTTTTACCTATTTAC